TTAACGAATATTTGCCGGTCCTTAGATAACACTTTCATCATTTCTGTATGAACTTCTGTTGCTGATAAAAACTTTCCAAAACAAAATCATTTATCACTGAACGATATTTGATTTTTTTCATTGTAAAAAAATACTCTGACACATCTTCAAATTAAACAAAGAATGAATTGACAGATTTTTTAGTGTGTTCATATGAAAGATTAAATACCAAACTGACGTGTTAATATGGTGTGTATTTATATGTTCATATATACTTGTATGTTTGTAAAATATTTTTCTCGCCATGAACTTTAATGCATTACCCCCATTATTTTACTCTGGAAATGGAGGTGACATCTTAAATTTATCAATGGTCAAACTTTATACTTTTGTTTTAAAAACTTTTATGAAAATAAGGAAAGAACATTTTTTATGTTACAAGTTAAACAAGACATAAAAAAATTTTGTATTTATAGAAACTTGATTAAAAACTATTTTATTAAGATACCTGTGAACATATTAAATCTTCTGTTTTTATTTTTAAAGTTTTGAGTGAAGTTAGAGCACATTTTAATTTTAAATTTGCGAAACAAAATAAAACAAATTTACTTACAGGGTGATTCATTTTTATATGCACGTCTATTCATTTTTATATGCACGTCTATTCACTTTATATATGCGCCTTTATTCATTCTTATATGCCTTTGAAAAATAGTATATTTAAGCAACTTGTTTTTTCAAAACAAATTTTTTCTTGTTTCCTAGTAAATAAGGTTAAAAATACTTAAAACGAAGAATTTTTACATTTGATGATGGTTTAATTAATTTAGTATTAGGTCTTTGTTATATTAAATTATTATTTATCTAATAATTCATTTATCTAGATTTAAATTTAATTATTTATAATTATTATTAATATCAAATATTTACCTAATGGATGGAAGAGAAAATAGCAGAGCAATTGTAAAATAAAGAAAAATGTTACAAAGGAGTAAATTGAAATGCTTAAGCATTTAGTTGAAAGAAATGAATCTACAACAAGCATTTCCACTTCTCTTAATTTATCTAAGCGCACAGTTCAAAATCTTGTTGTTAAATTAATTAGGAGAATTCAACAACATGACTGCATTCAAGTCGTTTTCTGATAAAAAAAACGAGGTAAAAGATCTATAAATGCTCAAATAAAAAATATTATTGAATTATGCCTAAGAGGCCATCCATAAAGGACATCATCCAAATAGGGGGGGGAGGGGGTCGAGTTAAAAAGGACAAAAAAGGACAAGGGGAGGGGGGGGAGGTTGTCAGAAAAGGACATCACTTTATAGATTTTTTATTTTAGTTTAATTAACATGGAAAACTACGTAAACATGTGTTTTTAAGAAGATAATGTATGAGAATATTTTTAATTTTATTTTTCAAAGGTGTAGCAGCAGATTCAAACATCATTGCGAGATGAAATAAATTTTTTTAGAGTTAAAAATAGGGGGGGGGGGGGTCAGGATTTTATGACGTTCTTTTCAAGGGGGGTATAGGGAAAAAAGTCAACCGGTGACAAAGGAGGGGGGGGAGGGAGGGGGTCAAAAATTGGCTAAAAAATGGTGACGTCCTTTATGGATGGCCTCTAAAAGAAAATAATCTTTGTATGCAATAAATTATAAAAAAAAATCTTTATACAGCAGGCTTCAACATGTCTCAGCCTACTATTTCAAGAAAACTCTGTTGGATTTTGTTTGGATTTTTATCAAGAAAGCCTGTTTTGCATGTGCCAAAAGAACAAAACTCAACATGAGTTATTGATGCACATTTTGCATTGCATGCGAAGTTAACGGAATTTTAAATGAAAAACTTATTTATTTGCATGAAAATGGATTTAATGTGCACACTAACAGTACATAATGTTATTTGTTAAGAGGTGCGCCAGCAATTTTACAGTTGCCTGCAAACCGTAGCAAGACTGTTAATTTAATTTGTGCTGTTTCAACAATGGGAGTGCTGGCTTATCAAACAAAAACTGGAGGCTAGAATGCAGATTCATTTTGTACTTTTATTACTACAATTTTGACACCAGCAATTAGAAATGCAGATGTGGAAGCCCTTGTGCTTGTTAAGGATAATTGTAAATTCAATTGGAGTCTTTCTGTTAGGTATCTATTAGCTATTAAGTATCTGCCAGCATATACACCACAGCTGAATCCAATAGAAATATTTTTTCTATTTTAAAGCATACTTACAAACAGAGAGAAAGGCCTTGATATACGGATGAGGTAATCAGGAAACTTAAAAATACTATGGATGCTACAGAGTTTAATTTAATTCCATTTTACAACCAAATGCTTAGTTACATAAATCCAGCACTGGCTAAGCAACCATTTTTTAAATAAATAGAAGTGACAACAACCTAATTTATATTTTAAATATATCTATATAAAAATATAAAAGCCTATTTATTGTTTATATTATGGGGAATTATTAAAGTTTGTCAGTGACATTAATGAATTCACTTGTTTGTTTTATTATCTTTTGACTGGAAAAATATTATTTACAACTATCATCCTTTTTATCTAAAATACAGAACCACAAAATATTATATTAATAACTTTAAATACATGTAATTATGTTGGCGTAATTTTCCAATACCTTCACGAAGAATGCATCATTACAAAAGATTAATTCTTTGTTAATATTAGGACTTCATAACAATATAAAGTTAGACATTTTATGAATAGTTGACTCACATATAAACCCGCATACAAGAATGAATAAACACGCATATAAAAATGAATAAATACGCATATAAGAATGAATAAATACGCATACAAGAATGAATAAATACGCATATAAGAATAAATAAACACACACAAAAATGAATAGACGGCATGTAAAAATGAATAACCCTGTTCATAATGATTTTGCTGCTCATTAGACGAACACTTGCATTTTTACATTGGAACTCCAAAGGGATTTGTAATATGTTTTAAAGTTACAACTGTTTACAAAAAAAAGTTTCATTGTTTAAAAGGTTATCTAATTATTTAAAAGTCAGCAAAATTTATTTTCTTATTTTTAATTGGCTAAAAATTCTAAAAAGTCTTTTTAAACTTATCAAATGGCTTATTTAAAACATCATTTAGAATAAATGCAAATGATGACAACCAAGCACTAAAAACCATCAACAAGAAAGAAAAAGTAAAGGAAGAGTCAAAAGGCTTGAAAGAGAACTTCTGAACAAACAATAAACTTTTCATATTTTATTTGTGTCAAAAAAAAGATAATAGTCATCACTTAATTCTGATGATGTCATTAGATGATGATGCCATTAGTTGACTGTCTCCAAATGTTAAGGACTTTATTCTAGTATTTGCAAAAAAAATTTAGGGATAAACAAACAATTTTTATTGACTAGCCTTGCACTCTTCTTCACCAGCCTCACACCCACAAAAAGTTTTGTGTTCAATCCCCACCACATCCCTAGTAGTACCGCGCTTAACTTACTTTTCCACACAGCATCCTTGTTCATCAAAATTTGTGTTTTAGAGCTATTGAGTTAAAAGTGGGTTGTAACCACAATTATAGTAGCCTCCTGGACTGCAATGGCCTTCTTGGCCTTGGAAAAGGTGAATTAACATAAAAAAAAAAAAAAAAGAATTTTAAACAACCCACCTATGTCATGATTATTTGATTTTTAGATTTAACTACAAATACTTATAACTAGTAACTTCAAAAATAATATTTTATAAATGTTAACATGAAGTGCACTTTAAAATTAACATTAAATATTAATTTTAAAGTTAATTACAATTCAAGGCTATATAAATGATATAACTGTTTATATGCATTCACTAAATAAATACAAAACTGAATAAATTAATAAATTTAGTATCCAGAATGAACTTTTAAAAGTATAAAAACTTGAAATGAAATATGATCTTTATAATTGTGTAAGAAAAGAGATAAAAAAAAAGTATTAAACTACTGATGCAAATATGAATTATGTAAAGAAATAAAATTTGACAACATTCAACTTTCAACATTTACAACAAGCAATTTAAAGGTAAAGCATAATTAGAATTATTAATCTAGAAATGATAAGTATACGTAGAGTTCATCACAACTCAGAGAAGTAGCACGCTAAACTCAGTGACACAGTGACATCACCAATCACTGTGTCACTGAGTTCAGTGACACAGTGACAGCCATCAAGTACTCCATTAACAAGTCAATTATTGAACAATCAAATAATTTAATAAAAGCAGTCTTTAACAAAACAGAACATGATAGTAGAAGACCGTGCAAAACAAAAAATTTATTTCTCATGTCAGAGAAAACCCTTTTGACAGCACTAATGATGTCATTTTAAAACTGAAACTTTCAGAGTCAGAAAATACAGTTTGCAGGAATAGTTACAACTTTCAGAACTTTTGAGCTTCGGAGCAACACCAACACTTTTCATTTTTCCAAAGAATAAAAAAGCTAGAATTGAATTTTCAAATGCTTAAAGACACTGAACTATAAAAATTTAAACCCAATCAATAAATAATTTTATGCATTCTCTTAAATACAAAGTTCTATAACTTTGGGTGAGTTCTATAATGTTGGGTGAGCAACCAATAGCAACCATGCAACATTTATATATTCACTCTATTTATGTTTATAATAAAACCAAATCAAACTGGAAAAGGTTTCACAGTAAGCATTTTAAACAAATAAAACAGTTAATTTTTATTTTAATATAAGTATTTTTTTGTAAGTACTTATGTTATAATAAAAGAAATTTACATAAATATATTAAAAGGTCTTTTAAGTATTTAATGAAGAAAATCTGATAAGTAGAAGCATTACAAACAAATTTTTTTAAATTGTACCTAGTATACTAATGCAGCTAATATGTAGACCTAAATATATGTAGACAGTATTACCTAAGTATTACCTAATAACTAGACAAACTTATAACAAGTCTTAAAACGAACACGCAATACAAAAGAAAGCAAAAATATGCAAAAAATCCTCTAACTAATTCATACCTTTATAACTTCTTGAGAAAGAACACCACCAACTACAGCATTGACTGGATAGAGTATGCAGCTTACCAAACTAAAACATAGTAATATCAATTTCAATTTTTATTTAACATTTGCAATTTTTTTATTTTATTTTAAATTCAAGTAAAATTGATTTCAGAAAACTTATCAATAATCGTTATATATATTCTAAAAAAGAATATATATATAAATGTATATACATGGGATTTTAGTCAGGTGATTGGGCCACTATAAAACATTAACTTTACTTCTTTTGAAAAACTCTAGAACTTATTTGGCTGTTTGCTTGGGATTGTTATCCTGTTTGTATAACCATATTACCATATTTGGGACATTTATCCTTTGCAAAACAGTATCCCATACAAAGACAAATAAGAGACCTGCAGTGGGTTGTGAATTTTAACTCCAACAAAACTCAGTTAGTTACTGCAAACAACTATTACAATTTTCTCAACATTCCTAAATTAATAAATACCTACCCTCTCACTAAATCCTCTTCTTTATATCTTCTTGGATTATTATACACTACTGATTTCTCATGAAAGCCATATAATAGAATTGATTGCAAAGTTAATTATAGACATAATTGATTTCATTGATTGCATAGTTAGAATCTGCTATGGTCACTTCTCTTTACTGTGCTTGCCATTCTCTTACTCCTGACTTCATTCTGCACCTCTATAAAATCTCTTATTCATCGCTGTATAGAATACTTTTATCATACATTGGGCTAATTACGCTCATTTTATTCTAGACAAAGACCAAAAACGTAAATGTAGTTGGTCCTGTGCTATCTGTCAAGCCTGAGCTTCTCTCCTACCATCATAAGGTTGCATCTCTTTGTTTTTTCTATAAACACTATTAAGCTTGCTGCTATCATCTTTAGCTCTATCTACACAAACTCATTCTTGCTTGACTTGTTATTGAGTAAAGTTGCATCCTCTTAGTGTATTTATCCTTTCATGCTGTGAAAACATTTATCCATTCAATTTTTTCCCCTGCACTTCACCTTTAACTTTTGAAGTTGCCTGTCGACTATTTCCTTTCTCTCTCTCTCTTTTTTAATTTTTTCTGTAATTTTTTTTGTAATTTTTTTTTTGCAATTTTTTCTGTATTAATAGTTTGATTCCATTTAAAGGCTTATAAATTGCTGTATTATAATGTAATACATTGAAATTGAAAAAAAAGAGATTTTTATTTGCCAATGTTTTTAGTGTGTATAAGCAGTAAACAAATGAGTTTTGTTTGAGTTAAAATTCACACACTACTGCAAACCCTAAGCTACCACAGAGGAGATATTACATTCATATCAATTTTCAGTACATTGTTAAAATCAAAATGATATATTTTTGTTAACAAAATATATGTAAAATATATATATATATATATCAAAATGATATATATAGGCTTGTTATGATAGATATAGGCTTGTTAATAAAAAATTCAAAAACTGCCAATATTAGTTAATAGTAAGAAAGCTGATTGTACAATAGTTAGAGGGGTCATAGTGACTTCTAGAGTTTTGAGAAAATATTGATGTAGTAAACTACAGATGTATGTTATATATATATATATATATATATATATATATATATATATATATATATATATATATATATATATATATATATATATATATATATATATATATATATATATATATATATATATATATATATATATAAATATATAATATCATTTTATATATATATATATATATTTATTTTTGGTGTATATTTATATTAAATGATAAGAATCAATATCAAAATCATCTTTCCAGACAACCTGAATCATTTACCTTCTCTACTCGACTTGTGTCTTGTTCTAATCCTAGTCAGTGCTCAGTTTCTCCACATTCACCCTTAGGTGCCTCTGATCACAGTTTGATCTCTCTAAAGTATTATCTCATTCTTCTTTATCATCAGAATCCCCCTATCATCGTACATCTTACAACTACCTTAAAGCTGACTGGGACTCTTTCCGTGATTTTCTTGATGATGGCCCTTGAGTAGAAATCTTTTGTCTTCCTGTTGACAAATGTGCTTTTTACATAACTTCGTGGATTCAGGCTGGCATGGAATCCTTTATTCTCTCTCTTCCCAGGTCAAGCCTCACTCTTCTCCATGGTTTTCCTCACATTGTGCTACTGCAATTGCCAATTGAAACCATTACTTCCATATCTATCAGCAAAACAATTCTCCAGAAAACAGATGTCTGTTTATTACTGCTAGAAACCATTGTAAAAAGGTTTTGTCTAAAACCAAAGCCCGCTATTCTCAGATCATGAAATCTCGTATTTCATCTCAAAAATTAGTCTCTTGTGACTTCTAGAGAATCTTTAATAGTATCAATAATAAAGGCAAGTTTGTAATTCTACCTCTTTTGTATGGTTCAGACTTTGTCACCTCACCTAAAGACAAAGCTGAATTGTTTGCTAAGAACTTTTCATCATTATCAGCTCTTGATACCACTAGTTGCGTTTTACCTGATATAGCCGTCAAAGATCCATTGCTCGATATCCATATCACTCCAGCTTCTGTATCTAAAGTGATTTCCTGCTTAGACTTTTCTACAGCTTGCGGCCCAGACAACATACCTGTTATAGTCTTGCAGACTATAACAGGTATTCAACTATTCAACAAGTGCTTATCAGAGTATTGTTTTCCAACCTGCTGGAAGGCAGCATCTGTTATCCCTATTTTTAAAAATTCTGGAGAGCCATTTGATTTGTCTAACTACCGCCCCATTAGTCTTCTTCTTACCATAAGCAAGATTTTTGAATCTTTAATTAACAAATACTTAACCTCTCATCTTGAATCTAATAACTTACTTTCTTCTCGTTCATCAGCTGATTTTGTTCAGCCTTGTTCATCAAGGTTCGTGTTTCGGAGTTATAGAGTTGAGAGAGGGTTATAACCACAAATAAGTAGCCTCCTCGTCTGTAGTGGCCTTCTCAGCCTTGAGGAGGTAAACTAAAATAAAAAAAATAAAAAAATTTGCTAACAGTAATAACCGATAGGTTTTATCGTGCATTAGATAAAGGTGGAGAGGTTAAGGCCATCGCTCTTGACATTTCTTGCGACTTTACATCGCTCTTGACATTTCAAGCGTTTGATAAAGTTTGGCATGCTGGTCTTCTCCATAAGCTTTCTTCTTCTGGAAACATCTTTAAGATTATTGAATCCTTTCTTTCCAATCGCATATAAAAGTTGTCCTTGATGGACAGCACTCTTCTTCTTATTCTGTAACCTCAGGGGTTCCCCAAGGTTCAATCCTTGGCCCTATACTCATATTCTCACATTTAAGGTGGCATTGTTCGCTGATGATACTACCATTTATTCTTGTCACGATAAGAAGCCAACTCCCTCTAACTGCTTGCATGGGGCATTTAAGCTTGAAAAGGATCTCACTTCTGCCACAGCATGGGGCTCACAGTGGCTGGTGAACTTTAATTCAGATAAAACTCAATTTTTTTCAGCCAATCATAATCTCAATAATTTAGACCTACCTATATTTATGAACAGTAATGTACTCGATGAGTCATCTACCCTTTATCTTCTAGGATTAACTCTTACTTCTGATCTTTCTTGGAAACCTTATATCAAATCCATTGCAAAATTAGCATCTGCTAAAGTTGCATCTCTTTATCGAGCTTGACACTTTCTTACTCGGGATTCTATTCTCTATCTCTATAAATCTGAAATCCGGCCTTGTATAGAATACTGTTGCCATATCTGGGACGGATCTTTAATGATGCCCTTTCTCTTTTAGACAAGGTGCAAAAACGCATTGTAAACATAGTTGGACCTACTCTTGCAGCCATTCTTCAACCTTTGTCACATTGTTGAAATGTTGCTTCTCTTTCTCTTTTCTACAAATACTATAATGGACACTGCTCTAAAGAGCTAGTGACTCTTATGCCATCTACTAAAATTCATTCTTGTGTTACTCGTCATTCAATTAAGTCTCATCTTTTTTCTGTTACTGTTCCTAAGTGCTCCAAAAACTTTTATTTGTCTAGTTTTTTTCCTCAAATATCAGTTCTTTGGAATTCGCTTCCTTCATCTTGCTTTCCTGATTCATATAATTTGCAAAAAATGTAAAAGTCTGTCTGCCGAATGATAGCAGACAGACTTGAATTTGAAGAAAGAAAATTTATTCTAAAATGCTACTGGAATTATAAAAATACAGTAAAAGTGCAATTTAAAATAACAATTTAAGAAGGAGTTTAACAAAGAACTATCTACATGAGTTACCATCACTCGATTTATAGAAAAGTTTGAAGCTGATGGAACTGTTCAGGACATCAAAAAGAACCGTTCTGGAACACCACATACATCGACAAGCTCCACAAAAGAAGAACGATTAATCGAAATTTTTTAATGAGGTAGGCATTTCAAAATCATCTGCCTAGCGCATCATGATATATTGTTAGTGGAGAAGCTACATTTCAAGATTAGCCCATTCTCTTAATGATAATGATCCAGATCGAAGAGTACAGTATTGCATGTGATACTTAGAAAGATGTAACAAAGATGCACACTTTCCCACAAAGATTGTGTGGAGTAATGAGGCCACATTTAAATTAAATGGTTCGATTAACAGATACAATTATACTTACTGAGAACCTAAGAATCTACATGTTATGGTCGACCACCATGTTAATTTACCAGGAATTACAGCGTGGTGTGACTTATCATCAAGAGGATTAATTGGACCTTTCTTTTTTGAAACTACTGTGACTGGTCCTGTTTACTTGAACTTGCTGCAACAGTCTGTCATACCAAGCAAATATTAGAAAGGACTTCGAACAGGATGAGTTTTAATTCCAGCAAGATGGGGCACCTCCACACTACCATTGTGATGTAAGATCATTTCTTGACGAAATCTTGCCAAACAAGTGGATTGAACAAAGACGTTTTGTCCAATACCCTCCACGTTTACCAGATCTCACACCACTAGATTTCTTTTTATGGGGATACTTAAAGGACAAAGTCTATGCAAAAAAACCTGCAACAGTTGTTGAATTGAGGGCAAACATGAATGTATAAATATCACAAGGGAATTGTTTCATCATGTGTGCTATTCCATAGCTTCGCGTTGTTAGCAGTGTCTGAAGCATATTTGTAGAATCTTTTACATGTTGAAAATTATTTGAATTATAATAAACCCCAAATTTACAATTATTTAAAGTATGTGTACATTTTTTTGGGACACCCTGCATATATAATATCATATATATATATATATATATATATATATATATATATATATATATATATATATATATATATATATATATATATATATATATATATATATATATATATATATATATATATAATAACAAAGAAAAAATACCTAGGAAAATCATCAGATAATAAATCATTGTCAATTTTGAGTTTCTCAAAGACTTCATTGCGAACTTCAAGCAGCTGCTCTATTTCATGGGAGCTTTTAATTTCAGTTGGATATGTTTTATATTTTGTGTGATATTCAAACATAACTAAACAATTACAGAGATAATAAACTATTATTAAAAACAAATTAAACTCATTTCTTATAAAAAAAACTTGCCTCGCATAACAAGATAGACTTTGCTAATTTGTTTGGCTTGTCGTAAACTTTTTCCTTCAAATAAAGGAACAGAGAGTGCTTCAGATAATGAACAGAAAGAAGTTTCCTATGAATATTAAATAGCTTGATAACATTGTAAAAAAAAATTAAAAATTTAATTTCTTAATGTCAAAACTAAAATTAATGAAAAAAAATGTATCCAAAATAAAAAATGGAAACAATAGTGTATCACTAATTTGTCTGGTAATTAAATCTAATAATATCACTATTGTTTATCTAAAAAGCAGTTAGTATGTTTGTAAAGCAGCTAAAAACTGTGCTATCAGTTTGAAGGGGTTTTGAAAAAGGGGATTTTAAAGAGTTGAAAAAGGGTTGGAAAAAAAGTTACTGTCTGCTGCAATGACCCCCGAACTCTAAAAAGATAAACTTCTATTACAAATAAAAAAAGATCATCTTGCTTTTTTTTAAACAACTTGACAGATGTTAGTATGTTTATATATACATTTCAATATTTTGCATTTCAATAATAGCATTTCAATATTTTGCAGAAAAAAGTAACCTAAACCAAAACTAAACTTCAGGAAAAAAACAAACAAACTAAAAAAAAAAGAAAAAGAAATCTTAATGAAAAAAAAACTATAATAAAATCAAAAAATTTAAAAAGATTTGTCTGGTTATTTTTCTACTGGTTTATTTACTTATTTTTAGGGTGGTTGTTGATTTCAACAATAAAATTTAAGGTAAAAACAGTTTGTAAATCATAAAAGTTTAACAAAAATAAAAAAACTTCTTAAGATGAAATTTATTTATGACTTTTATCAATCAGTATCTCAGTTAGAGAATAATCTATTATCTATGCTAGAACTATGAGCATTACTCATTGAGTAACTTTTAAATGTAGTTTTTTCAAAAGGTTTTTGCAATGGTGAACATTTTTGGTGAACATTTTTTCTCAATACAGAGAAAATGAATTGCTATTGATTTATAAAATATACTTGTTTATTTTAAAATGTAACAAGATTTTTATGTAAAAGAATAAAAAATTTAATACTAATGTTAAAACCTAAAATCAAAACTTTGATTTTTTGTTTTTAGTTTCGGTTTTTCTCCATATTATATATATTATTCAGTTTATCTCCAAATCCATAAGCAAGAAGATGTTATTAAGCAAAAAAAAAAAGATTAGTTTTTTCTGCAAAATATTGAAACGCTGTTATATGTAAAAAGAAAAAAAAGTCAAAACATGAAAACAGTCATGCTTAAGTTGTTTAAGAGTCATTCGAAATGAAATTATACCATTTTTACTCCTCAGAATTGCTTTATTTTGACATCATTTGCAGTCTATATTAAATAAATAACTGCAAAAATTTTAACTAAAAATATACATGGGCTGTTGAGATATCGCCAATTGAAATAATGCTGAATATGACCCTTGGGTTACATTTCTTGTGAAGACCTGCAACCCATAGCAGATAAAATTTAAATAATATCATACTGATAGATTGGCTACTGAAACATTGGTGCAAACAAAATTAGAAAAAAAAGGTAGCAGGAAATATAGACCATAAAAAATCACCCATAAAAAATCGAAAAACCTAAACAAACCTTTTCTTCGTAATCAGGATCAGTACATTCAGAGTTTTCTTTCTTCAAATTTCCAATTACTGCTTCTACAATTTTTGGCTTTTCTCTAAGTTTTAAAATTTTACATCTTTACATGAAAATAGTTAAATAAAACAAAACAAAAAAACAAAAAAAAACTGTTTACTAACTTCAAGTTATACTGTATAGATGCAAATATGGAGTGAATTTAATATATTGGTACTACAGTGTTTGTTCAAATTAATAGAAATCCACTCACAAAAATACACCTTTTGTATGAATATCATTACAATTTGTATAAAAAATGTGCATGTTACTTATATTTTAATAACTATTATTTTTACATGATGACAACACTGATAATATTTAGATTTTCCAACACTGCAAACGCCAAATTATGTCACCTGGATGCTATTTTGTGGATTAACATTCATTTTACTTTTGTTCCCAACATTAAAGTGTTGTGTAGTACGCTGAAGTAATTGCTATTTTTTTCAAAATATTTCGTTTTGCTTTACATGTATTGTTTGACATTATTTTAAGATTTTTAAAGTAGGTTTTACTTTTTTTTTCAATATTTTATATATTTTTATTATCTATTGTCATAATAAAAACAACATATTTTCAATTATTATTTTTTACAATTTTTTAAGGTTAATTGAAATCATGGGCAAAGCTAAAAATATTACACCTCATAAATTATCAGAAATAAAACCTTTTATTAATAACTTGGAACCCAATAGATTAAACAAGTGTGGTTGTAAAAATTGCAACTTGGAACCCAATAGATTAAACAAGTGTGGTTGTAAAAATTGCAACTTGGAACCCAATAGATTAAACAAGTGTGGTTGTAAAAATTGCAACTTGGAACCCAATAGATTAAACAAGTGTGGTTGTAAAAATTGCAACTTGGAACCAAATAGATTAAACAAGTGTGGTTGTAAAAATTGCAACTTGGAACCCAATAGATTAAACAAGTTGTAAAAAGCTTACAACAACTAGAGATCTTAAAAAAATAAGAAGTGTTTGGAGGGAAACTCCTCATAGGATTTTTTAAAAAGAGATTCAAGATGCTGAAGTGTAATGATTTGGTCCATAATAAGGGGAAAAGCTTAATATTGTGAAAGGTACAATGAAGCAAGATCAGTATATTTAAGTTCTCAAAAGCAAAATGCTTCCTTAAGTCAAGGAATGGTTTCGGATGGAGATTTTGTGTTCATGCAAGACTCAGCTCCATCCTACAAGGCAAAAGGAGTCACAGAAAGAAAAAATAAAGTCTTAGATTGGCCTAGGAACTTTCTTGACCATAATTCTTTTAAAAATTTACTGCTAAAACGGGAGATATAAAAAGTTCTGGTGTCAAACAAGTGTCAATTGATAGACAAATTGATTGAAAAGTGGCACAGAAACCTACAAAGAAAAGAAAATTGTGTTAAAGGATAAAGAGTGTCATCAAAGTGAAGGGCAAGGTCACTATTGAACCTAATTTTTAAAACATGATCAAAAGTCATGTTTTGGATAAGTTTTCTATTAATTTTACTGTATTCCTATAAATATGCGTTTGAAATTTAATATTCAATGATTTAAAATAAAATATTGATGGATATGTGCTAAAAATTTGTATTTCATCATACCTCAATTGTAAAAAAACATGTTTTTATGGAGTGGCTCTAATAATTTGAACAAGCACTGTATATATTGCTTTATTAAAGTTTCTATAGTAACTAAAAAATAAAAGCATAATTGAGCGCACAACATTTTGTTTTATCTTAATAATATTTATAAAACATTTATTTATTATATTATTTTCATTTATATTATACTTTTTCATCTTTCAAATCACTTAAAATAGAGATATACCCCTCTTCTTGCTGATTGGGTGAAAAAAGCAAAATAAATAATTCAAAAAGTATATTAATAAGAAAAGTGAACAATTTATTTTTACTAAGTATAACATATAGAAATAATTAAAAAAAAAAAATTAGAAAAACTAGTGAAAGAATAAATTTCAAATTATTGCTTAACTTTAGTAAAAACTAAATATTAAATAACCTAACACCTTTTGACTTTACAACAATGAAAGAATAAATTTAAAAGTATTTGTTAACTTTAGTAAGAACTTAATATTAAATAACCTTTTGACTAAAAATATAATAAATATATAAAAACATATCTTTTTTATTAGTGAACATAGATCAGGTATACATCAGGTATGTAGAGCAAATTAAGTTTGCACAGTTGGTAAGCATGACAAGAGTTGAATTTTGTGAACCTTAAAGATTGCTGGTTGAGAAATACCCTGTGGGTAATAAATAATAAATTTAAGAAAAAAATTGTGTGTATTTGAGAAGTAATTGGATTCTGAAAAAAAAAGTCAACAATAATAACAAAAAATGTCAGTAACAGTAACAACAAAAAATATCCAAAAACAATGATAACAAAAAATTTCAACAATGATAACAAAAAATAATACCAACGATAACAAAAAATGTCAACAATCATAAAAAATATTTTAAAAAAGATGACAAGTAAGTGAAATATGGTAAATAAAATTTAATTATATAAAAATCAGGACAACTTCATTTATATCTTATTCATAAATATATTGGTTTTATATTATTTTAATTTTTATCTCGTCTTTTTCATTAATTTTCTTATTTCATTTCATTAAAAAATCAATTGAAATGTTTTTAAAAACCTAATTTATAATTGATCTAAAAGTAATTGGTTTTGCAATTACTTTTAAAAACCCTTTTTATTTTACCTGTAAAATAAAAAAAAGTGTAATATTAGGTGATTGCTTTGATGAGGATAAGACGGGTTAGCCCTGTTCTTCAAATTCACTGCCAGGTTAAAATTTTCTTCACTTCAGCTTTTTTTAAATGTGCACATCATGTGCTCAGTTTAGGTTTTCAAAAAAGAATTTTTGTCTTCCAAAGTTTCATTAACAAAGATGATCTGCTAAGACATCTGCTTATCTAAACAAGCATTTATAGCTTTTACAAATTGTATCAAAAAATTATACAATACAATTGAAAAATTGTAGAATACAAATTGTATTCTAAAAGCTGCTTATCTATACATTTATAGCTGTGTGCCTGTGTGTATATATATATAATTATATATATATACACATGAACACACACACACATATATATATATATATATATATATATATAAATATATATATATATACACATACATACATATACATTTACATTTACATATACATATATATATACATATATATATGTATATATACTATACTCAATCCATAAGTTAGATCACATTTTCCTAATATCATTTTTGCGCTCTTAAGGTAAAAAGCATGCTTTATTTTTAAGAAAAAGAAGAAAAAACTAAGAATAATAAAAGAAAAGATTGCTGCCCCATGCCAAACAGCAGGATACAAGAGCTTTAGCTTTCACACTCCCTTAAAATGGTTTACAGGAGCAATTTTGCTCTCGCAAAAGTATAACTTTTATCGTTAAAAAAAAAAAAATTAAATAAAAAAGACAAAGTTTAAGTTTCAGGTTGACTTTTTTTGCTTACAAAATCCAATTGTTTTTTGATTTTTCTTTGTGGTACTTAAGATTATATGATTTAACAACTGTGTAAAAACCAAAAGAAAATACTTGTCTTATTTTTTCACAGCATGATAAGTGATGCTTACTATAAGGGTTAAAAACACCTTTAAGTAGCCTCCTCGTCTGTAGTGGCTTTCTCAGCCTTGGGGAGGCGAATTTAAAAAAATATTAGGGTACTTCTAAAAACAACTCATTTTGAAAATGTCTGCTGACACCCCTTGAATGTGTTTTATATAACAATATAATACTGGATTTAAATTTTTTTTAAATAAATATAATTTGAGAGGTTGCTACGGACCTTGCAACATTAAATCAGTTCCTAATATTATAAAAAAATGTTTGTTCATGTTTGGTCCTAAATGAAGTGAAATTATATAAAAAGCTGAATCATTTTATAATAAGATAATTATTTTATATTTTATTGAATAAAATATCGATAGATTGCCTGCCCAAACCAAAACCATTGTCAATGTTTTACTTATTTCAATCAATGTATGTAAACTTTGGCTGTGCTAATCTCAAAACAAATTAATCAATAAAAAAAAGAAAAACAATTAAAGAAAACAAATAAATTAAATAATAAAAAGAGTAAAAAAATAAAAATAAAAAACTTTCTGAGTTAAAAAAACAAAAAGCATTCTGGTCTATTAAGTTGTGTTTTGTGGTTTTTCAAAAAACAGTGAAAATAAATTAAATAATCAATTAATTTAATGGTTTTTGCATTAGGTTAGTTTTGTCATTTTTAAACAAGTTGTTAAGAGCCATTTTTCACTGCATACAAACTTCTCTGGAGACCTTGCAAGAAATTTGATTTATAACATCATACTGAAATAACCATTTACAGGGACTTTTGTAAATATATCAATTATACGTTCAGGTTAGGGTAGATTTTTTCTAGATATAAAAGATATTTATTACTGCAAAAAAAAAAAAAATTCTTATTTTTTATAACTCTTGTTTTTTTTTTTCCTGGATTCAAGTCAGCCTTTTTTAAAACTTAAAGTGTGCAAAAGGTATTAAGATAATACACAGCAAAATCTGCTAAAGAAAGTGTGTTTGTGTGCATATATACGTATGCATGAAAATAAATATAAATCCTGTGAAATACAGAGATAAATTAAAAATAAATCAGTGAAAGCTATTATTAACAACTCTGGGATATTATTGATAGGAGAAGAAATGAGAGGTTTTTATCTTAAAGAATTTTTATTCCTGCACCCCATAGTTTTGGCCATTTTTTTATTTAAATGAAGTGATCATTTTTTTAATTATAGCTATTATCTTATAAGTTTTCTTTCAAAGCTTTATTTATTAGTTTTCAAAGTAAACTAATAAATAAAGATAAGTGAGCTCTGTGTTTTTCTTGCATCGAGTGATATAATTTAGTTTTGGCTAATCATTTTTTAATCATCCTGCACCCCGTAGTTTTGATTAATCATTTTTTTTATTATTGTATTGTTATTATCTTATAAGTTTTCTTTCAAAACTTTATTTATTAGTTTTAAAAGAAAACTAAGGTTAACAAAATCATTATTTTATACATCTGAACCAATTACTTTTAGATTAAGGAATTTTTTCTTACATTTTTTGATGAAATGAAAAAGAAAAAAATATTCAATAAATTTTGAAAAACAAATAAAAAAGAAGCATACTCTGTATAGACATGGGATGATGTTAAGTCTGAAAATATATAGCCATAAAAACCAAAAACACCACCACATATAAACTTTATTCCTAAGCGATGGCATATTTCATTTATTTTTAACTAAAAAACAAAAACCAATATTAATCATAAAAACAAAAAAGTTATAACTGCATGCACTGCCAAATCATAATACAAACAAAACAACATAAAATTTTAAAATTAATTATTGTCCTATTGTGTCATACAGAAATAATAAAAACTTTTTCAAAAAAAAAAAAAGTTTTATTAAAAGAATTTATGAATATACTTTTTTTTGACTTCAAAGTTATTATTTCAATCATTTGCCATTATTTAATATTTTTATCTTACTTTTATTAACTTTAAAATTTTTTTGTAACAAATAAGTACGACTGACACAATTAGAAGTGTTATTAACATTAATTAAAACATCAAATACTTATTTAATTCCAAGTTATTTTTATATTACAATACTTAATTTTAAGTTATTACTACATTACAAGTACTCATTTATTTTTAAGTTATTTCTACCTTAGTGTATATAAAAATACTATTGACAGGATAAACTAGTTATTAGTGCTCCGAAATGCCAGTAATAATAATAATAGACATGACTCTAAAGTGTATATAAAAACATTTAATTTTTTTTATCTCAATATAATACATAAATACATGCATATATTTTGCACATAAGTCTTTATTATTTATTACATTATAAAAACACTTAGTGCTGAACCACAAAACAGATTAAGGGCATCCACTAGTAAAAAATTGCATTAACTCTTCGTCATATTTATATAAAAAAGCATTATGGAAGCCCACTCAAACCACACAAACGTTGACTGAGTTTTAAAAAAATGAATGTTGTTACAAAACTTAATTTTAAAAATTTGTTGCAAAATTTTATAACAATGGAATATATAAAAAATTTGCTTTTTTGAAAGATAAAACGATTTAAAAATATCCATTCAGAGTTAAGTTTTTGTTTTTGGCAATTAAGAGTGCATTTGATAATAAATGAACAAAAGTAAAAAATTTCAGTTTTAATAACTATCACAAAAATTTAATTTTTGAATGAATGAAATTTTGATCTTTAGCTTGCTATTTTAGTTTATGCTATGAAAACAAAAAAATGAAATGTAAACTTTTTCAGAAAGTTTTGTTTCTTTTCCATATTCTATTTGACTTTTAAAATAATACAAATAACATTAAAATCACTTAAAATGGCGTTTAAAATTATAAAGTTTTTCCCTAATATCTCAATAAATAATTTGTTCTGTAAAGTTTGATTAGCATGAAAACTTATTTTTCAAGGATTTTTTATGACACAAACACAAATTATCTTGGCACTTAGGTGATCACATAATGGTCAAAAAATAAATAAAAACTTGTCAAACTTTTTTTTAACATTTTGGCTTTAACAAAATCTTCACAAACTACTCATAAACTAGTTAATCATTTTTAATCGATGTTCAGTCTATGATCAATTCAAAAAATTATTAATAAATAAAAAACTCTTATTAAGAACTGAACTGAAATTAAAATGAAGGTATATGTATTGGCCTGCATAGAGCTTTTGTGATGACCAGGTCCAAAAGTTTAATGGATGCCCTATCTTATTTTAGGATATAAAATGAAAATACCAAATAAATTAGTATAGTTATTTTTTGTTTACTTTCATAGAAAACTAAAAATCACATTTAATTAATTTTGGTTTTTAAAAAAAAACTATTGTAAAATTAAGTCTTAATATCGAACGCATTTTCTTGGCCTTCTTAGCCACAAAAATAACTACTTCATAAGAAATGTTATAGGCTAAAACTGATTCAATTGAAAAGATCAAGTAGCACAATTGCTCCTGGTCCATTGTGAAACAAAGATAATCTTTAATGATAGCTAACTTGCTGAAAGATCTTTCACCATCAGATGTTGAAACGAGCAATATTTGAAAGATTTTAAGTGAAACACACGCTTGTAGAAATATTGACATCTAAACTTCATTTAGATGTTCGACAGGTTTTTTACTGCCTAGAATATTTCTTCTTACGAAAAAAAAAATGCAAAACCTCATCAGAAAATTTGTTTTTACATATGTATTCTGGGTAACATTTTGCCAGATTCTCAGCTTTTAAACCTAGTTCTTTGTCTGTTTGAAATTTCTGTCCAAAGGAAGTAAAACTTGTTACATTCCTCATATATTACTTTAAACCTTGATCTTATTTGAATAGTCAAATTGTCGAGTACAGCTTTGAAGACATTACACTCAAAGTTTTTTGATGCTTCCTCGTGGTTGTGACTAGCAGTTTCATCAGGAAAGAAATTTTTTTTTTGCGTTTTCTTCATAGCAAACATAATTTCATTAAATTTCAAGATCTTTGCAATTTTGTTGCCTCTATCAGGTATAATTAGGTCCCAAGACAAACAGATTCGATCCAGATCTGTCAAAAGGCCAATTCAGAATCTTTACTACATCATTGAGAGTGAGTTGAATGGATTGAAACTTCTGTTGCCTCTATCAGGTATAATTAGGTCCCAAGACAAACAGATTCGATCCAGATCTGTCAAAAGGCCAATTCAGAATCTTTACTACATCATTGAGAGTGAGTTGAATGGATTGAAGCTGAAGACTCGCATTTGTTAACTACCATCAAACATGTAAACCAAGTGAAAAATGCTTGTTGATTATTCTGCCAAATCCAACTTTGAACTCCAATGTAAATACCCTGCCATTTTAGCGCCATTGTATATGTAATACGAACATTTTAAAGTAACTTGAATTAAATTTAATAATTTTTTTTTGATTTAACATAGTTTGGAAATTTTATCAAAATTTATTTTATGATTAATAATAAATTTAATTTAAATATAATAAAAATAAATATAAATTAAAAACTTTTTGAAATTGGAGAGTAGAAAAAAATTTTATATATATATATAGATATATATATATATATATGTATATATATATATATATATATATATATATATATATATATATATATATATATATATATATATATATTGCCAAGCAAGAACTTATTTTCATGACGGCACTTAGATATTATTATTTATTTTTTAATAATTCTTGCGTACCTTTGTATGATATTGTCGGGTTAATTTGGGTGTTATTTCTAAGTTTTCTGCCATATATACTTTAAAAGTGTGTTTGAATTTTTCAGCTTTTTGTTTGTAAATGAGTATTTGTGGTTAGCTCATCTTTTTTTCCATTCTGCTAGGTCAATATATACTTTTTCTGGAGTGTTAGGGGGGGATACTATACATTTATAAATAACATTAGAAGCTCTAAATTTTCCTATTATAGGGCAGTTTTTTTTATTTATGCAATTGCAGGGTGGGTAATCTATTGGTCTTTCTGAAATAATTTTCTTGTTATGGCTTTTTATTACTCTTTTGATATTTTTGGTGCAGCTGTAACTCATTTTGATGGTATTTCAATTAAATAGTTTACTTAGGGGGTGGAATGTTAGAAAATGTTTGTCGATCAAGTTAAGGAAGATATGTCCGACATTGGTAGAAACGCTTTTACTGTATAGGGGTTGAACCATATTGCATTTCTTTTTATTTTATTTTAGTTTTCTTTTTTACTTTAAATTAAAACCAGCAAAGCCATTTCATCTTAGTTCATCTTCTATTCTGGTATAGATAAATTAAATATTTTTTCATTTGAGGAATTTTGTGATAAACTGTCGTTAATAGAGATGGGGATTTGCTTTATTATTTGTGGAGGATGGTTGGAATCAGTGTGGATGTAACATAGATTTTCATTTGGTTTTTTGAAAGGTTGCTAGGATTTTTTTTCTAAGTTAAAGGATACATCTAAGTAGTTGACTATGGGTAGGTTTGGATCTAATCATAATTGTTTTTGAACGCCGCAATGTTTATTAAGAGTATGTTTTTTAACGGAAAAAACAATGTACTTCTTGCCTGATGATAGCAAAACGCATGAAACTTTTAGTATTAAAAATAATGTAGTTATTTTTATTTAATCTCATAACAAAAATAATTATATATATATATATATATATATATATATATATATATATATATATATATATATATATATATATATATATATATATATATATATATATATATATATATATATATATATATACATATATATATATATACATATATATATATATATATATATATATATATATATATATATATATATATATATATATATATATATATATATATATATATATATATATATATATATATATATATATATGTATATATATATATATATGTATATATGTATGTTTAGTCACGCGACGATGTCATTTTGTTTTATTTGTCTCAAATTTATCTCTTTAACCTTATACTTTTTGTTTTCAAAATTGCTTTGATTGCGTTGTTATTTTGTCAATTAATAGTGTTAGGACCAAAACTAAAAATTGTAACTAACTAAACTAAAAAAACCATAACTAAAATTAGTCGACTAATTTCTTAGTTAACTGAAATTGCCCAACTATATTTTTATTTAACTTAAATTAGTTGACTAACTTTTTAGTTTACTAAAATCAGTTGACTAACTTTTTAGTTAACTTAAATTAGTCGACTAACTTTTTAGTTAACTAAAATCAGTCGACTAACTTTTTAGTTAACTAAAATTACCAGACTAATTTTTTAGTTTAATAAAATTACCAGACTAACTTTTTAGCTAACTAAAATTACCTGACTAACTTTTTAGTCTAACTAAAATTAGTCGACTAACTTTTTAGTTAACTAAATATACCCGACTTTGTTTTTAGTCCAACTAAACAAATTTATAAATATATAATATAAATAATTTGGGTTCATGATATCATTTTTATTAGAATTATTGAATAAGATTGCTAATGCATAAGCACTTTACTGCATAATACCGCAAAAATAAAAAAATATCAAAATAATTTTCTTTCAATTTTTAATACCGAAGGTTTAACGAGATACTTCAAGAATATATTTCATAAAAACCCAAAAAGTAAACATGGTAAAACACAAATATCTTTGGAATTGAATAAGTTACCAAGACCAGTGCAAAGGGGTGAGGGAATGGGGTGGTTGGTTTTGTGAGTGGCATCCCATCAATG